TGACAAATTCAGATTTTGTACTTATTATTGAAGATTGAGTTTGTATTTAATTTTTAGTTTTTATGACGAATGCTGTAAGTACTTGTTGTGATTTTATTGTTACTCTGTGATGCCCTTAGAAGAAATTTTTAGCAATGAGAATATACATTTTTGGGGTTCCACACACAGGTGGCCATGTTGCTTTCAAAAAGGGTTATTAATTTATAATGTCCCTAGTGGTGTTTTCTACTTCTATTTTATTTTGTTTTTATCCTTTGTCATATATTTTAGTACCTTATATTTTTGTAAATTATAACAGGCTTTGCACATTATAGTAACCCATTGTTCTGTGTAGATCATTTATTCTGTTTTCCCCTTCTTATTTTAGTTTCTCTACTTTTCATTTATATCAGTTTTAAATGTAAAATTTTGGATCTCTCAATTTTTTTCTTTATGTTATTTTCCTGTTGCTTTGAATTTAAGAACTTGACATTTTCCACAGGCCTGACATACACATTGAAATTTTATTTTCTGTAAGCTTATTTTTATTTACTATTATATTATGAATGACTTCCATGGAAGAATGACCCAAAGTACCTTTGGGGAATCTTTTCTCTTGCCTTTAATAGCACTATCAAAATTGTCTTCTGAAACCAGTGCCTTTTAGGCAGGTTATGAAATGTTGCTGTGTATATTTGAGATAGGCTCATAAAATATAGTATCCAGAAGGCACTTTGTATTTTATTCTGTGAATAATGTCTTTCATGTAATTTTACTCAGTTTATTTTCAGAGGTCTCAATATATATTTGAGTCTTTTGCAGTTTTTACTGTAATTCATAATAGTGAATTTTAATTGCTAGAGTTTTCAATGAGAAACTTTATATTCTGGAAAATGAAATTTTATACGTATCTCTCACATAAGATACTCTTATTTTTTTTAAAGATTTTTTTTTAATGTTTATTTATTTTTGAAGGAGAGAGAGACAGAGCGTGAGTGGGGGAGGGGCAGAGAGAGAGGAATACACAGAATCCAAAGCAGGCACCAGGATCTGAGCTTTCAGCACAGAGCCCGACATGGTGCTTAAACTCACAGACTGTGAGATCATGACCTGAGCTAAAGTCAGATGCCCAATCAACTGAGCCATCCAGGTGACCCAAGATACTTAAAAAAATTTTTTTTAATGTTTTATTTATTTCTGAGAGAGAGAGAGAGAGAGAGAGAGAGACAGTGTGAGCCGGGGCGGGGGAGGACTCATAGGGTGGGGTCAGAGAGAGGGAGAATCACAAACTGAAACAGGCTCCAGGCTCTGAGCTGGCAGTCAGCACAGAGCCCGATGTGGGGCTCGAACCCACGCACCGCGAGATCATGACCTAAGCGAAAGTCGGACGCTTAACCGACTAAGCCACCCAGGCGCCCCTAAAATTGTTATTTTTGAGAGAAAGAGAGAAAAATAGAAAGAGAAAGCTAGAAGGGGAGGGGCAGAGAGAGAATTCCAAGTGGGCTCTGTACTGTAGTGGGGAGCCTGACACGGGACTCGAACCCACAAACTGGGAGATCATGACGGGCCAAAGTCAGCCACTCAACTGACTGAGCCACCCAGGCGCCCCCAATGTCATTATTTTAATGGGATCAATCTAAATACACTCTATAGAGAATATGTATTGTCCCTGATGGACGGCTGCAGTTTATGTCAGTCCTCTATGAACACTAGGGTGACTGACATAATCCTATCCATCGACGGGAACGCAGGTTACTGTGCTGGTTTGTCATGTGGGTCTTGGTGGGTTTTGTTTCCTCTTTTAGATTTGTGAGGATGAAGAATCTGGTTGTATTAGCTGTGTGTGAGTCCGTCCCCTCACTTGATGAGAGCAGAGGATCCTGCTGCCAATTGCAGCCATTTGATGTCTGGTAACAACACTGAGAGCCCCTGTCACTTTTACTTTTTTTTTTTAATGTTTTATTTATTTCTGAGTGAGTGAGAGAGGCAGCGTGAGCAGGGGAGGGTCAGAGAGAGAGGGAGACACAGAATCCGAAGACAGGCTCCAGGCTCTGAGCTGGCAGCACAGAGCCAGACGTGGGGCTCAAACCCACGAACCATGAGATCATGACCTGAGCTGAAGTCAGACGCTTAACAGCTAAGCCACCCAGGCGCCCCTCACTTTTACTTTTCAGTGTTGGCTTTACAATCAAATGTAAGCTAGATATATTTGTACTGATGAGAATTTATCATCTTCTGGGGCGCCTGGGTGGCTTACTTGGTTAAGTGTCTGACTCTTGATTTCTACTCAGGTCATGATCTCACAGTGCATGAGTTTGAGCCCCAAGTTGGGCTCCATGTTGACAGCATTGAACCTGCTTGGGATTCTGTCTCTCCCTCTCTCTCTGCCTCTCAAAATAAATAAACTAAAAGAATATGTTTTTTTAAAAAACTTAAAAGAATTTATAATCTGCTTTAACAAGAAAATGTTCTTAGGAAAATAGACACAAACCAGTTAATTTTCTAAATACCTTTTTTTGTTAACCAACTATCATAAACTACCTTAAATCTTCCAATAGTGATGATTTACAATTATCATTAGTATTGTGATTGTGAAAATCAATCAGGGAAGCAGTAGCAAAATGTTGGCTTCATCTTGTCGTGGTTAGCAATAATTTGGAAACCGCAGGAATTTCATCCTTCAGTTCTGGACAAGTATTTATATGGAAGGGTAAGTCCCAATTATTCTTTTGGCTCATGAGTGGGAAAAAAAGGGCATTGCAGGCAATTTATTTTGATTTTCTCAAGTGAGGGGCAGTAATCCGGGGACCCAATGGACTTCTAAATTTCATCACACTGAGTAGTTGATAAAGGAGTGTAGCTTTACTCCTGTCGAGCATTGACTTTTGCTGATTACCGACTTGTAACTGCGTTATCAGCGCCTCAGAGTTCTAGAAAATGAGACTCAACGCCCTCGATTCCGCGGCAAACGTCCCACAGTACCCTCTTCCTGTCTCCCTAAGACCGTGAACTACAAGAGGGCGCCGGGTCTCAGGTGCCGGGGGATCCCAGGAGAAACCGCATTCTGAAACATGGGGACGATCCGCGGGGCAGGTGCAACGGTCGTCTCCCAAGTCACAGCAGCCACGCTCCAACGGTGTGCAACGGTGACCTTTCCCGAAGCTTGACGACCGCCCTCTGCCCGCGCACGTGGCGAGGTGGGGACGGAGCCACGTGGGAGCCGCGAAGACGTTCTGCGCGGCGCGCTGCTGACATCCCAGGCGCCAGAAAGTTGTCAGCTTGTCGCCGCAAGACCCTGCGGGCCGACCCCGCAGGTTAGAAGGGAAGCACACGGAGGTGAATCGGCGTCTTCCCCGACCTCCCAACACACTCACTTCCCTGTCTCTCCCTCACTCCGCCCCCGCCCCCGCCGACTCAGCCCGCAGGCTCAGCTCGGTCTCGCCGCCGGACCTATCGCGCCCGCCCACCGAGACCCCGGAAGAGGGAGTCCATCCGGGCGCTTCGTGCGGGCGAGGGGAGGGCGTGGCTTTGTGACGACAGAGGGCGGGCGGGGCGAGGAGCCGACTCGGGAGCTGGGACAGCCTGACGGAGGGGGCGGTGGGAGTGAGCGTTGCCTCTCTCCACGCCCCATGGAAACTCCGTGCTGCTCGAGGGGGGGGCTCTCTGTTCTCAAACTCTCCTTGGAGGCGGGGGTGTCAACTAAGAAGTGTCACGTCAAAGACTCACCCTTGGGACAGCTGCTTCAGCCGCTCTGCTGCCGCCCTTCTTTCCTCCCCGCTTGACCGCCGCGGAACACCGCCCGCCCCCAGGCTTCCCCCCCCCTCGCTCTGCGCAAATGGTGGCGGCCCGCGCGCGGCGCAGCCGCAGAGGGTTCTGGGCGGTGCCGCTGAGGGGCGTGTGACGCAGCGGCCGTCGCTGCCATTTTAAGTTGTTTGTTCTTGCTCCGCTCCTCAAACGCGACTCTGCCCCGGACCCGGGAGGCGCCCGAGGCCGCCGCCGTTTCCGCAGCCAGCGGTTGGGGGCGAACGAGGCTGTGCCACCGCGGACGCTCACCCTCCGCTTCGGCTCTGCCCCCTCCGGGTCTCCTCGACCTTCCTTCCTTCCTGAGAGCCGGAGCCCGCCCGTGGGGGGAAGAAAGACTCGAGAGCAGATGCTTGAACTGAAATAACTTTATTTTGGGGGGTTTGCTTCGCTGACAGACCCCGTAGCGCAGGGCTCCCCTCCCCTTCCTCCCCTCCCCCTCCGCCGCCGGTACCAATCCCACCCCTCTTTCTCCTCCTCTTTCGATCTCTCTCTCTCTCCTCTCTCTCTCCTCTCTCTCTCTCCGCCGCCGCCGCCGCCTCCGCGTCCTTCCCTCCGCCGCCGCCCGGGGCGCCGAGCCAGACTATGGGTCCCAGGTGGGGGCTGAGCGGCGGCAGCAGCGCGGGCGGCCCGGTCACAGTGCGCACTGCAGCGGGGATGGAGGGGCGCAGTTGGCTGGTGGTGTTCTCTTGACATGGCTCCCGCCCGAGCTGCGAGCAGCGCCCCCGCCGCCGCCGCCTCTTCTGCCGCCGCCACCGCTCCGCCCGCAGGCTGCGGCTAGAGGGCCCGAGCCCCGCCCGAGCGTCGGTCAGTGAGTCCCGGTCCGCGCGGGGACAGGGAGGGCACTTCCCCGCCACCCGCCCGCGCCGCCTCGGTTCCACCCCCCACCCCCTCGGGAGCCCGACTAATGACCCCGCCCTGAACTAGCCAAACTCGGGAAACATGGTCTGTTCAACGTGAGAGCGAGCGAGCGAGCTTAATCCGGGAACTTCAGGGTTTTGGTTTTTGTTTCTTCTTTTGGGGGGGGGGGGCTGGGCTGGGCGTTCTTTAAAAAGTAATTCATATTAACACAACTGTTTTCTTTCTTTCCCACTGATCCTTCCCATTTACCCTCTCCCGCCTCCTCTACCCGGGCGGGAATTGTTTCCACGATGAAATGAGTGAGAACCCGAGTGCTCCTGTGTCTCCCGTGGTGCGAGTGAGTCGCTGCCGCTGAAGGCGAAGGGTGGGGGTGGGACCCGGGGGGTGGAAGGCAGGTGGTCCCGGGCGCTGCCTGGGGTCTGGGAGAAGAGCCCACCGCCTTTGCCTCAGAAATGCTCGCCAGGAGATAAGTCGCGCTCCCCGCGATCTTGAACGGGGGTCAGAGTCCGAGGGAAGGCTCCCTTGGGGAATGTAGGGCTGGGGGCGTCGGGATCCCGGGCATCAGTCAGGTCCCACCGCGGAGCCGGAATAACTTTTCTCTCGTACTATCACCCCCTTCCTTCTGCCATCATGATCTTCCATGGCCGCCGCGTTAGCAGTCGCCTGAGGGTGAAAATGTGGGTGATGGGGAAGTTGGTCATGACTCCGCTGTTTTTTCTCATGGCTCCTTTGGGCAACAGCTGTCCGCCCCCGGTCTACACTGTAGTTGATTGCAGGGAAACCCTGTACCTCGCCCCTTCCTTCTCTACCGATTTTGCACTCTTCTCTTTGCTTACCACCAAGTGTAATCAATAACAAGCACTGGCAATACACAGCAATAGTGGAGTCGGGAAATAACTTCGGGATCGATTAGGTGCCGCAGCCATGGGTCTGGCCGGGTGAAGCCCAATTGGATATTTCGGTTTCGTCCACCTACCCTGTTCCTGTGTTTTGGGAGGGGGGTTTGGGTTTTTCTTTCCCCTCTTTTTCTTTATAATTTTTTTGTTTTGGTATTTGGAAAGCAGGGATCATTACACTTTCCCCCTCCCCGTTCCTTTTCATAACCCCTTCTCTAAAAGAGGGGGAAGAAATCCGGATGGATTTGAAGGATTGGACTGGTGTCAGCTGTGTTTTATTGCACACCTAAATCCTGATTATAGGCTTTTCATTGCCCCCAGAGCCTTTATTTTGGCATTTAAGCCAAATGCGTTTTCCAAAAAGTTAGTTCCAAGTATTTTCTCCTCTCTGTCTTTCCTTCCTTCCCTTCCTCTTTCCCCATAACACCCAAGTTACTGTCAAACATGACTGGACAGCAGCTTTTGTTTCTTGACCCTGTAATATGACAGTCTGCTAATCTTGCCAGAAGGTGCAGTTTTTGGGTTACAGTCGTGATTTTAGCTATTCAATCATATTAGCAGGAAAAAAAATGACTTGTTTCTGTTGTACTTGAGTCTTAAGAAAAAGTGCCCATAGTTTAGTGACAATTTCCAAAGGCTTTAGTACCACCTGTATTTCAAAATGGGGGACCCAAACTCCCGGAAGAAACAAGCTCTGAACAGACTACGTGCTCAGCTTAGAAAGAAAAAAGAATCTCTAGCTGACCAGTTTGACTTCAAGATGTATATTGCCTTTGTATTCAAGGAGAAGGTAATTTAAAGTTCTTAATGTGAATTAGCACAAGTGACTTTTCTAAGTGTATATTATCTGTTACCCTTAAATGACTGCGCGTTAGGTTAAAGAGTGGTTGCCAGAAGTCTACGAGCGCGCATTACCTTGGACTTTACCTTGGATTCTCTGCACCAGCGGTTGCAGGGAGCTCCCCGTGGAAGGCTGGAGGCGAGGTTTGGAAATGACTCTGAAGCTTAGTAGGGTCCATTTTTAGTTAACCTGGGGGAGCAACGTGGTAAAACTCGCATTTCTGTTTTACAGTAAATTTCATTTCTGTGGAGTTACATAAAGAACATTATTAACTGAGTTGAAGGATGGTCTAATGAATAAAGTAGGTCGTTTGAAAGTGGTAAACTAGAATCAAAATGATTATGTGCTTAAAGTAAGTAGTCTGTTCAACTTGCTAAAGATACCTTTTCTCTTGGTACAGTTAATGGAATACAACACACTTTAATTTTCAGGAACAACTAAAGACTGTAATGGTTAGTTTGTGTTTAGAAGTGCAACTTATTAAAATTCAAAAGACCTAAAGAAATCTAAGTTTTGAGGGGGTGGTGAATGTAATCAGAATTAATTCCACCATTAAATGGCAAATAATTAGTTGTGAGTAGTCAAGGAGAACATGATAAAAGCAGTATTATTATTATTTATTTTCTTTTTTTGCAACTTGTTCAGTTTCTTAAATGATCTGTTTGAGATGAGATTAAGTTATGAATATAAGGAAATGCTGCTTTAATTTTTGCACGCAAGTAGTGAGCTAATTTCGGACCAGAAATAGATTTGTTGTGTGGCATCTATGTAGCATTCGGAAGTTTCCTGGGTATTTGCCCCACTCTTAAAACTCTTAAAGGCTATCCGTGCGGGCACACCTTTGTTTTATTGTGCTTCATGGGTATTTTGACTTATATAAATTGACAGTTTGCCGAAACCCTGGATTGAGTAAGTCTTATCAGTGCCATTTTCCAACAGCATCTGTGCACTTCATGTCTCTGTCACATTTGGGTAATTCTAGAAATGTTTGAGGCTTTTTTAAATCATTGTATTTGTTCTGGTGATCCGCGATCAGTTATTACTACTTGCTGAAAGCTCAGGGGAACGTTAACATTTTTTAGCACTATTTTTCAATTAAGGTATGTGCTATTTTTTTTTTTTTTTTTTTTTTTGGACATAATGCTTATTGCACATTTACTAGACTACAATGTAGTGTAAACATACATTTTATGTGCCCTGGGAAACCAGACAACTAATTTGACATGCTTTACTGTGACATTAGCTTTATTGCTGTGGTCTGGAACTGAACCCACGATATCGCCAAGGTATGCCTGTATTTAAGAATGCTCTTGGCTCCTGGAGTATAGCTCTGCAAAGTTGTTTGTTTTGAGGTAATTGTCTAGAGATTGGGTAATACCAGGGATTTACTTCTCAGTTTTTTTCTTTGTTAATACATTGATTGCAGAATTGAGAAGATCAGATTTTAATTGAAGGTATTTAAGTTCAGTAGAAATAAGTCCAAGATACGCATGGTGAGGTTAATTCTTTCATTTAATACAGAAGATGCATCTAGCTTTAACACCATGACAACCGGTGCTTACTGTGAATGAACAGGACCCAGGCTGTTGTCCTGAGTCCTTCATAACGTTAACCTAAATTGATGAACACTTGGTCACAAGTTAATTTGAAACTTAATTTGGTAGTCTTTTTTTCCCCTTGCTTCATTCATTAATTGACATTTGTTATATAATATCTAAAAGCAGTAATGAGTTAAAAAAACAACAGTCTGTACACTTTGTCTTTAAACTGCTGAGATTTTAATTTACCTGTACGTAGAGTCAGTTAAAAAAAAAAAGTACATGAAGAGTAAACAACTTTTTTTTTTAAGCATTAGGTGTGTCTAGTGGTTTGTCTTTCGCAGTGTTTAAAAAATACTACTGTTTAAAATAAGGTACCTGTTATGGATATTGTAAAAGCGTGCAGTAAAACATTCTGATTCTAGCCTGTGTGTGGTGGGGGCAATAGGGGCTGGAGGAAGAACAGAAGGGTCCATCTATTTGTAAATCTGACTTTTCATCATAAAAGTTACTTCAGTTAATAATTTTATTGTGTTAGAATAAGGGTACATGATACTGTAATATGCATTGGGTGTTAAAAAACTATGTGCTACTGGTGGGTTAATAATGTCTGTCTTTTTCCTTTTAGAAGAAAAAATCAGCACTTTTTGAAGTGTCTGAGGTTATACCAGTTATGACAAATAATTATGAAGAAAATATCCTGAAAGGTGTGCGAGATTCCAGCTATTCCTTGGAAAGTTCCATAGAGCTTTTACAGAAGGATGTGGTACAGCTCCATGCTCCTCGATACCAGTCTATGAGAAGGGTAAGTCTGTTTTTCAGTCCTGACTTGGTAAGTTTTTTCAAGTTAAGCTTGCATTTTTCCCCTCTAAGAAATGGGGAGTTACTGTGGTCATGAGCCCCTTTAAAAGTTGACTTCAAATAAAATGTGGATAACTTTTGCTTGTGGTATTATGCCATAGTGGTGTGTATTATTGCTGTGAATGTTTTATATTACTGTTCATTGGATTTTCTTTTTGGGGAGAGAACTGACCTCCTGCTCCTTGTAAATAAAGTTAAAGTAGAAGGAATTGCTGCTTCCAACCTCCTAAACTTCTGCAACTCTTTGGAAATTAGCATGAACATACTGGAACTAACTGATCTCCACAATTAGTCAGGTGGGGGGAGGTTAGACCCATGTACTTGTCTGAAAGGTTTATTGGCCTTTGAAAATTAATACGCTGGACTATGATAATAAGGAACAAGAATGGAGAAGATCGTTTACTGTAAGTATATAATACAGATACCAAGACAGCTTTGCTTAAATATTAACTAGGTTTTTCTTTTGAAGAATGGAAATAAAAATACAGGGACTTAACAAAAAAATCAGCTTCAGTTGGAATTTGCACCATGTGCTGATTAATTTAGGTCTTGATATGAGGAACATTGGACGAAGTACATGGACTCTACAAGATAAAGATTAGAAATAGGCCATGGGCCGGTCAGATTATGTACTGTGCCATTACTCTTGCCTCTTGATAGATAAAATGATACTTCATGGATCTTCTGTACTTGTGAAGTGTTTTTGTAATCAAACCTATAATTTGTGACATTCATTGCTTGTTACAGCTTTGTTTCTTTGAAAGTAATTTTTTTTTTTTTTTTTTTTGTCATTTTATAGGATGTAATTGGCTGTACTCAGGAGATGGATTTCATTCTTTGGCCTCGGAATGATATTGAAAAAATTGTCTGTCTCCTGTTTTCTAGGTGGAAGGAATCTGATGAGCCTTTTAGGCCTGTTCAGGTATTTTATTCTAAGTGTGGTGTGTGCTTAAGTGAGTAAATAGGGCCTAACTTAAGACATTAAAAAAAAATTTTTTTTTTAATGTTTTTTAATTTATTTCTGAGAGAGAGCGAGACAGCGTGAGCAGGGGAGGGTCAGAGAGAGAGGGAGACACAGAATCCAAAATAGGCTCCAGGCTCTGAGATGGCTGTTAGCACAGAGCCCGACGCAGGGCTCGAACCCACGAACTGTGAGATGATGACCTGAGCCGAAGTCAGACACGTAACCGACTGAGCCACCCAGGCGCCCCAACTTAAGATATTTTTTAAGAATATGCTTTCTAATCCATTTTAACTCATGAGTTGCTCTCATCTATTTGAAATTTGTGATGCAAGAGGAGAAAGCATTTGGTGACAATCTGTTGAGAATAAAAGGTGGTCCTAACTACCCCAGTGTGTCTTTGAAATACCGGCCAGAGAAAACGATTCAGGGTAGATATTTGTTGATTTATAGAGGAGCCCGTGAATGAACTTCAGAAGATTCTCCTCTGAAATAGTATACCTACCCATCTGGTTCTCAGAGGAGTCTGATCTAAGAAATGAGTTAAATCCTATTCTGAAAGTAGATTTGTATATAAATTGTACAAGAGAGAAGTAAATCTGGTAGTGGTGGTAAAGTAATCTTCCTGGGCATCCTGCTAACTTTTGACTTGTCACTTGAGGTACTAGACAGTTTGTAGTGTTGAAGAGCATTTGCCCATGTGGCAGTAATCCTGATTTTATATATAGTACCTTTGTATGCATTGGAAAAGGTACGGTAATTGCCACCAGAAAGCTAATATGGTTAGTTCTAGGTCAGGTATGGCTAACTTTTATTCTACATGTATGTATATTTCATACATACATTGATCATATTTTTACTTATAATAAAAATAAATATGAGAATTATCACTGAAAAAATTTGCATTTATCCATTCCTATGAAGTATGGTGCCTTTGTGTATGATAGACAAATTGGTATTCTCCACCTGTCCCCATGGTAATGTTCTACAAAACAGCTCAAATAAATTCATCGTTCCTTTTTCTAAGATTCACTTGACAGAAATAAGTTCTAAACATATAGCCCTAAGTATGGGTGAAAGTATTGTGTATTCGTGTTTCCCTTTAGTGGACACACCTAACTCCTCCTGAGTGTGCTGGAGAATAGAAGTTGAGTGTGAAGAGCAGGAACGATGGGGCGCGTTCATAGTTCTCCGAGCAGGTCCTACGCACCCCTGTAACAGCTCTCCAGAAGCACGGGAAGGGCTTTGTTGTCATTCAGAATTTTTCCCTGGAAGATTTTTGGTTCACTTCTCCTTGTTTTTTTAAAAAATTTCCAATAATCTTCTCTTTCCCTCTGAGACCTTATTTGGGATAGTTGTGTTAAAATAGTCTTGTCTCAAGTATAGTGGTGTTTGAGAGCTGACTGTGCTAGGCTGTCTCCTGAATGTATACATTGAGTCTTCATCCGTATAGTTACTATTACAGACGGCAGCCTCCTTTTGCAAAGGAAGCCACTGAGGCAGTTGGAGGTGAGGTGAACAGCCCACAGTCCTGCAGCTTAGTGGCAGTCAGGACATAAGGCCCGTAGAGCTCGTGCTCTGAATTTGCTACTCCATACTGTGGGAAGTGCTCTGTTTTATAAAGAAGATTGTGGACTTAATATAAACACCATATAGGATAAAGTAATACTGTGTAAGTTTAAAGTTCAACTGCAGGAAACAAGTTAACAGTGTAAAGATGAACTTCCTTCCCCTTTAACTTAAAATAAATGAGTATCATGAATAAGTCCTAAATATAAATTACTTAGTTCTTGAGGAAGTGAAAGAAGGAAAGGTAAACTTTAACTTGAAAACTTTTTTTTGTTTTTTTTTGATTCTTTCACTCTTGAAGCACTTTAAAGTTTGAATAGTAAATGAGATTTAGTGGGAACCCAAGTAAAGGTTGTTTTTCAGTAACAAGTTCTGATATATCCAGAGTACTAGGAGGTACACGACACATTAAAATCTCTCTCCTTCCTCTTTAGCCCTGACTGCGCTTGCTGTTTTAGTTCTTCCATCACAGTATTCACATATTTTCTTACTTCTGGGCGTTGTTTTCATGCTGCTGCTTGGAGTTTTCTTTTTCGTGGGGACTGTTCCTTCCCAAATCTTTGTTTATTCCATAGGATAGAATTGAAATGCCATAGAAATAATAGAAGCCCTTTTTTAGTCTCCCTGAAATCTCTCTTCATTGTGATGTTCTACGGGCTGCATTTTGCTTCAAGGAATGAATACTTGAAGCTTTCTTACTTGAACAGTATTTTTTTTTCTTAATGTTTGTTTATTTTTGAGAGAGAGGCAGAGTACAAGCAGGGGAAGGGGCAGAGAGAGAGACACACACACACACCCCCACACAGAAAGAAGCAGGCTCCAGGCCCTGAGCTGTCTGTATAGAGTTTGACGCAGGGCTTGAACTCAAGTACATGAGAGAATGACCTGAGCCAAAGTTGGATGCTCAGCTGACTGAGCCAGCCAGCCCCACTTGCTTGAACAGTATTTTAATTTTGAGACACTTATGCTTAATGTTGGTCCTGTTTCCTGGAATGGCATTTTCCAAGTTACCTTTTCTTCGTGCTTTCCCAGGGAAGATTGTCCCTTCTCAAGGCCCACTCCACGGTCATTTGCTAATACTGCCTACAGTGCCCGCTGTGTTAATTATTTCTCTCTCCTTCACAGAGCACTTTGAAGATAGGAACTCTGTTTAGGGTTTTACAAATAACCTCATCTTAGTCTAGGAAGCAGTTGAAGCAAGTTAGGTTTGATATTTGCATGTGCTTGTCCTTTTGAGCTCTGTAAGAGCCTTTAATAACCTTATTCGTATTTTCATATTCGTACTTTTCATATTCATAAATATTTGAATTTGTGCAGAGGTACACTTGAATATCATATTTACACGTACCAGTATGTGAGGGTGGCATATCATGTTATGTTACAGCGTAGAACAGAAGCTGGGTGGTCAATTCTAGATTGCAGGAACTGATGATTTTTCCATGTTAGTATTTCCTACTGTCTTGACAGAAGAGAATAAAAGTTGTTTGAGTAAAACAGATTAACAGTCTTTTTTAAAATAATTGAACATTGTCTAAATATGACATTCTTTAAGGTTTCTCTGCTTTTTGAAATCTCCACTAGCCCGGTTGTTTCACCCAGCACTTAGTCTCTCCACAGACATTTCGTGGGAGGATGGAGCTGGTCTTCCTCATGTTAAAAGAGTAAAAGGATGTTCTGATTTGAGAATACTTCTTCCTAAATTAAAATTTTTTTTCATCTGAAAAAAAAAACATAAAAACATCTTTCTAATTTTGAGGGGTTCATATATCCTCAAATCCATCTGTGTCAGGGCTGGACACACCTTTCAGGTGTGGGCTTTACGGATCATTTAATCCTGTTAACTGTCCTGCTGGGTTAGAACCTGAGCAGAAGCTGAAGTTTAGAAAAGTTAGGGGATGTGTACAAGTCACAGAAGTAGCGAGATGTGCACCTGGGATTGAAGGCATTTCTTCACAACAGCCAACTGTAGTGTGTTCTTCATAATGAAGGGGGAGGGAGGTGTCATTGGGCCTAATTATAAGTATTCCGTTGGGGGGCACCAAAGTGCTATGTTGGGAGTCTTGAACCATATAGGTTTGAAAATCTAGTTTTATAGAATTTGGCCTAAAATCATTGAAAATTAGGACCTAGTCATTCTAAGGCAGAGTTTTTCTTGGTGGTCAAATTTTGTAAAGGAGTGCTATTAATTAGAACTTTCTGTGATAAAGGACATGCTATGTATCTCAACAGACTGTTCAGAATGGTGGCCACTGGCCACATGTGATTATTGAGAATTGAGATGTGGCTAGCATTCGTGAAGGACTGAGTATTAAATTGCATTTAATATATTAAGTGTGAGTAGGCACAGTTGGCTACCATATGGCACAGCGTGACTCTATGCCTATTGATGCAGTAGATGTTTCAGGTAGGGTCATGTCTGTAGTTACGTGTAAATATGTTTGTTAATTAGGCCAAATTTGAGTTTCATCACGGTGACTATGAGAAGCAGTTTCTGCATGTACTGAGCCGCAAGGACAAGACTGGGATTGTTGTCAACAACCCTAACCAGTCAGTGTTTCTCTTCATTGACAGACAGCACTTGCAGGTAAGCGTTTTTTAATTTTTTTTGTTTTCCTTCTTAACTCATTTAAAATGCTTATTCGTTAGGGGCGCCTGGGTGGCTCAGTCAAGCGTTTAGCGTTCTTGGTTTTGGTTCAGGTCATGATCTCACAGTTTTGTGAATCTGAGCTATGTGGAGCCTGCTTGGGATTCTCTGTCTCCCCCTCTCTGCTCCGTCCTCACTCCTGTTCACGGGCTCACTCGCTCTCAAAATAAATAAACTTAAAAAAAAAAAAAAAAACTTGTTAGCAAACATTTTTTTAAAATGTTTATTTTATCTTTGAGAGAGAACGAGTGCAAGTGGGGGAGGGACAGAAAGAGAGGGAGACAGGCTCCGAAGCAGGCTCTGCACTGATCGCAGAGAACCTGATGTGGGGCTCGAACTCACAAACGGGGAGATCCGGCTGAGCCAGCCAGGCATCCCAGCAGACTATTTTCCATACGTGTTAATTAATTAATTCTGTTTTGCCGCTTCAAAACTGCATGATTTTTGAAGTTCTTTAAAAATCAAAAAATCAGAAGCTATCCTGGACCTTGTTCTAGAACAGTGGTTTCCTGCCGTATGCTTGCTGCAAATTGGAACTACCTGGGAGCTTTGAAAAGTCATGATGCCGGTAAACTCCAGTAAACTTAAAACAGTAGCGGTTTAATAAACCCTGCGGTAGAGCTTTCTGATGTTGAGGATGGTCAACAGATCATAGCAGATTCTTAAATATGTAGATTCTCAGGCCCTACCTCAGTGCTCCTCGATCGGAATCTATGTTCTGAACAAAATCCTCAGGTAGTCAGTAATATATTAAGCTTTGAGAAGCTCTAGCCTCAGATCTTTTAAATAAAACTCTGGAGGCGCCTGGGTGACTCACGGTTCCTGAGTTCCAGCCCCTTGTCAGGCTCTGTCTGGAGCCTGCTTCGGATTCTGTGTCTCCCTCTCTCTGCCCCTACCCTGCTCGCTCTCTGTCTCTCAAAATGAAGACATAAAGAAAAATTTTTTTTAAAGAAAATTATTTTTAAAAATCTGAAGGGATAAAATACATCTGTATTTAATAGATCTAAATGTGTTTTAAATAAGCACTTTTCAATTTAAGCAATGCAGGTATTCCTGATTATTTTTTATTCTGTACAACATTGTCTCCTCAAACCTAAACCTGAGTATCATCATTTAGAATTTATAACAGATGTTTTGTTTTTAACCTTTAAAAATAGCATCATTTCAATTACCATTCATTCAGCAAATGAATGCTTGCCAGCGGCTGTACACCAGTGGACACAATCGACAGCAGTCTGTCATCGAGGACTCCCGTCCTGCGATGGGGCCGGGGGGGTGGGGTGTGCAGTTCACCAGTGACGAGTGCTGAAGTTCATTTCAGTGGAGGCATTTCATACAAGTAACAGAAAAACCATATGTCTTGGGTGGGTTTTGGGGGTTCTCTTTTCTGTTTCATCTTTACCTTAGCTCTCTTATGGTGGCTATTTTGAAGTTGCTTAATTTTTCTTTTTTAACTACTGGTGGTGTACTTTCATTTGAGTAACTTATTGAGATAATACTGGATAGCAGGCTCTTGACTTAATATTATGGAAGCCACAACAGAAAATGAGAAGAATGTAAGCTGAGAAGAAGGGCAGAGTGGGAGAGAGAGAATATTAAGCAGGCTTCACACTCAGCTCAGAACCCAGTGCAGGGTTCAGTGCCACAACCCTGGGATCATGACTTGAGCCAAAATTAAAAAGTCAGACGCTCAACTGACTGAGCCACCTTGGTGTGCCCCATTATCATACGAATATATAGATCAATAATACTATATAGAAATGGCTAATGGCTTGAAGGAGTAACTTCACTAAGTAAGTAGTAAGTTTTCTCCTGTTTTATATCAAGGTCAGATGTTTGTGCTTTATGAAGCAGATAGCTTGAATCCTTTTAATGAAAAAATTGTAAGCTCATCAGCTAAGCTGATGTTGTAGGTAGGGTGACCAGCTGTCTGTCTGTCTGCAATGCCCTGATTTGTGCATTGAAAGTCCCAAGTCCTTGGGGCGCCTGGGTGGCTTAGTCGGTTAAGCGTCCGACTTTCGCTTAGGTCACGATCTCGCGGTTCGTGGGTTCGAGCCCCGCGTCGGGCTCTGTGCTGACTGCCAGCTCGGAGCCTGGAGCCTGTTTCAATCTGTGACTCCCTCTCTCTCTGACCCTCCCCTGCTCATGCTGTCTCTCTCTCTCTCTCTCCTAGAAATAAATAAAACATTAAAAAAAAAAAAAAAGAAAGTCCCAAGTCCTAGGAACCCGAATCTTGGGCAGCGTGATGGCTGATGTCCATGCTCACCGTAGATGCATCTGGTCTCCAGCGCTCTTAGGTGCCTCTCCCACTCAGGCTGTCCCTGGGCTTCCTGACCCACAGCTGAGTGGCCATACTTGGCCCATAACGAGGAATGAGGGACCTGACTGGCTGGCGACACTGCGCATTAGGTTCCATCCTTGCAGAGCTGGACGAACGTGAGCTCCCGGCACCCTCACAACAGGCCTGGGAGGCGTAGCTCTTGTTACTCTCGTTTTAGAGGGGAGGAAACCAGGAAACTGAATTAGTTGATCAGAATCCTCTAGCGGAGATCTTGTGTCCTTCATCATCATCATACAAGATGTATAAAAAGAGCTAGACCAACTGCTAATTTTGGAGGGAATGTGGTGGAGAGGCACGTGCCTGGAGCCTGGGTTCTCAGCCACATGCAGCCGCTTACTGGCTATGAAATCTTGGACAGGGAACTTCTGTGAGCATGGGTGTTTTTTGTTAAATTGTGCAAATGATATTCATAAGGTTGTTGGAGCATTTAAATTGAAAAAAATAGTGGCACCCGGGTGGCTCATTCGGTTAAGCGTCCGACTATTGGTTTTGGCTCAGGTCATGACCTCATGGTTTTGTGGGTTCGAGCCCCATGTCGGGCACTGCACTGGCAGTGTGGAGCCCAATTGGGATTCTCTGTCTCCCTCTCTCCCTGGCTCTCCCAAATCATGCACCCGCATGCTCTCTCTTTCTAAAAGTAAATAACCTTAAAAAATTTCTTTAAAGTGAAAAAATGTACATGCATTATGTGGTTTATTTATATATGGAAGCTGATTTTTTTTTTCTTAAGGTGCTGTAGTGAACTTTGAAGGTGGGCAGGTCTGGGTTTATTTAGATTGCATCTTCCGCTTACTAGCAGTGGTGCTCTGTGCAAGCACCTAACAACACACTTGGCATAAATTAGATGTTAAGTAGTAACTATTTATTTTAATGTTTGAGAGGGAGAGCTGGGGAGGGGCAGAGACCGAAGGGAAGAGAGGACCCCAAGCAGGTTTTGCACTGTCTGCACGGAGCCCAGCGCCGTTTTCAGACTCCCGAACCAGGGAGCTCATGACCTGAACTGAAATCAAGAGTTGGACGTTCAACTGACTGAGCCACCCAGGTGCCCCTAGTAACTGCTTTTCAAAAATAGTAACTAAAGAGTTTTATTCCTCTGGCAATACTTTCGCTTTCTTGCAGTCCTTTACCCCAGGTTATGCTTCAGTCTTTTTTCCCTACTTCTAATCTTCCACTGTGACACATTTGTTGTCTTTCTGTCCACGGACTGTGGCTTCAGATTTCTGCTTAGATCTGTCTCTCTGGCTTTTAACCTTAATTTCCTTTAACAAGTTGTCCATGGTTGACTTTTCTGATTTTCAATTTTTTGCTTTAAATAAACTCTATAAACATTTATTTAGTTTATAAATGTTTATTCTTTCTGTATTTATCTGGCAAGGTTTTGTCTTTCTGACTAGACTGGTTCCTGTGGGTACAAGACCATAATTTATTACCTTAGTCTGTGTGCTTCAGTCCTGTGTTCATAACTGCTTAATAGAATTATGGGAGATTGACTTCATGTGACAGTTGATCGACTCTGTAAACGTCTTCTTTATTAAGATTATTAAAATGGTTCCCCTTCCAGACTCCAAAAAACAAAGCTACAATCTTCAAGTTATGCAGCATCTGCCTCTACCTGCCGCAGGAGCAGCTCACCCACTGGGCAGTTGGCACCGTAGAGGATCACCTCCATCCCTACCTGCCGGAATAGAGGACTGGCCAGCCAAGTGGAGACGATCAGAGTGCAGCAGCAGTTTGTTTTCTTGTTTTCTTACACTTTATTTCAGAGTTTAAAGAAAATGGACTCATGCACAGAACACTATGCATTTTTGAAACTTGTTCATCCTGGATTTTTTTTTTTTTTAATTGTGTCTCAGAACTGAAAACCAAGTAGGTGTCTTCTGCACGGACTGTGAAAGGAGCTGCTCTGCACGTTTGCTGCACTGCATCAGCGTCTGCTAAAAATGTGAAACGGAAGGACCGTGTACACTGAAATGCTTACATGTATCTGAAAGCACAAGGTGATACTCGTTTTTGATGGTCTTTCCATTTGTGCTGGTTTTTGCCTCTCTGACCTCTGTCATCGGTATTTAGAGGGTAAGACATGAATGTAAAAGGCGTACATAACATTTAAAGAAACCGAATAGCTTTGCCGTAATCACCGTTGTTCCAGAGCACTGTCAGATTCATTCAGTGACCACAAGTGGTTGTTTAAAAAATAAAATAAAATAAAATACAACCACGGGAAAGAAATCTTTTAAGGGAAAAAAAAAAGCATCTCATTGTAGGCATTCTTGCCTCATGTTTTACTGGGCCATGTTTGTTTCCTGGTACTCATAAATGTATGTATTTTATTTCCAGATCTCTTTCCCCGAGTTGTTATAAAAGAGTATTCTGCTGAATGTGGATACGGTCAGACACATGAAGGCAGATCTGGAGTCTGAAGTAGTGAACGCAGCTGTAAAACTGAGAAGTCCATTCATAGCTGCAGAAACCATGCTAGGGAGAGGACTTTCCTTTTTGGTTTTTGTTTTTTGTTCTTAAAGAGAAGAGGTTTTTATTACAAAGAATACAGTGAATTGTGCAGAAATACTGGTTTCTACACCGTCCTAAAGGAAAACTTAGGAGGGTTTCTTGGACTAGAAAAAAGTTATTAAAGTTGGGATCTTAAATTGTTTAAAAAAAAACACAAAACATTGAGTGTCAAAGCTCTAAAAGCAGAACTCATTTAGTGCAATGAACATAAGGAAAGACTACTGTATAGTTTTTTGTTTTTTCTTTTTACTGAAGAGAAGCTTTGCTTACAGCTTGCACACTTTTATGGGGGTAAATCTGAATGATCGTACTCCTTTGGAGTAGAACTTAGTGCTTACTGGTTTCCAATTGTATTTAGCTTCTGGTTGGAATTTGAAAAAAAAAAAAAAATGAAAACCTAAATAAAATAGGTGAAAGTTCCCTGACTATTCAGGTGAATACACAAAACTTTGAAGTGGTAGCTTTTTTTTTCCCCAAGCCGCTGGGTAGGTGTTACTGATGACCTGGGGGTTATTTTACAGTCCATGATACATACACAGTGAATTCAGGACAGAAAACAGCAGCTGCATTTGTAATTTCAAGAATAGGAATCAAAGACATTTTGTAAGCTTTAACAGTTCTCAAGTTGGCCGTGTCCCTTGCTTCATGGAAAAGAAAAAGTTTTTTAAAGTAGGCGCCACATCCAGTGTGGGACTCGGACTCCCGACCCTGATTTCATGACTCGCACGCTCCACGAACTGAGCCAGCCAGGCACTCCCAAGAAATATTCCTAATTTCACAATGCTTTCACATGTTTCCTCATCGATTGAAAAATAGAATCTACTTGAAATAATGGCTTTGGTTGTTTCTCTTGGCGAGGTCCTGCCTGTAACTTCCACAAGCGAAGTGGAAAGGGTTACAGAGGTTTGGTAACCTGCCCAGGCTCACATCCGGAGTGGGCAAGGTTTAAACCCAGGCTGGCTGTGTGTAGGATCCAGTTCTACATTATCGTACTATGTTGAGTTATACTTGTAAATCAGTTTTTTAAGTTTTTATTTTAGAGTAAGTTTAGAAAAGTTGTAATACAGGAAACTCTTGTATAACCTTTACCCACGTCTTAGCCACATTTTCCCCCCACTTTTTCTACACATGTATTTATACGTTATTTCTGAACGACTTGAGCATTTGGTACATATCTCACAGGTACATCTTTATTCCTTACTTCCTAGTGCTTTAGCTTATGTCCCAAGTACAAGGATGTTCTTCTAGAACACAGTAGAGTTAACCGATTTCAGGAAATGTGGTGTTGATGTCCATATCCAGTTTTAATTGTCCTAATACCCTTGAGTCTTTTTAAACCATTGCATGTAGCTGTCACATCTCCTCTGATCTGAAACAGGCCCTTAGCCTTTGTTTAATGACCTTGGCATTTTTGAAGAGTAGGCTAATTTTTTTTTTTTAATATAAAGTGTTCCTCATTTTGCATTTGAATGCTGTTTCTTCACGGTTAAATTTTGAATTATGCATTCTGGCCAGCACACAATTTAAGTGACCTTACTCCAGTTAATATCCAGAAGTGCACTGTCAAGTTGCTCTTTGTTGATGTTAACTTTGATTGGTCAAGGTGGTGGCCTGTTTGTACATTGTAAAGTTACTGTTTTCCCCCCTTGAAACCAAGAAGCAATCTGGGAAGCAACATGGGAGTACCTTGTGCTTTATCAGGAGCACCACTGATTAGTTCTGATTTTTGCTGTAACCAGTCTTTCACTAGGATCACTACAAATTAGTAATTTTCCATGATTTGCCCTTTTCTCCACATCTATCAGCATTTTACAAGGAAGACCCCACCTAACTCTTTCATAGAGTATCTACCTAAATGGTGTGGATTCATTTTTCTCAAAGCTGCATAGTTTCCATGGCTCTTGCCATTTTAACTTGAACACTTGCTTGCTCTCAAGGCACAAGAAATGTTCACGTCAACTTCCCTGTCTCAGCCCCCTAGCCCTGGAACCAGCTATTTTCTCCAAGGAGCCCAGTTTCCTTTTAGAGGGAAATATTAGAAATCAAGTACTGGGTGCCTTGTGTGCTTACTGTTAGGAAGAAGTTTGCTGCTGTCCTTTGAGCACAGATCAGCATGTATTCCTAAACAAGCAAAGGATACGCAACCTTTAACTGTTGGTAGTGTTTCCAAACTTAAAGTTGCTTCTCTTTTTTTTTTTTTTTTTTTTTTGATGTTTAGTTAGTGAAATCCTTGGAAGACCCCATGATGCAGAAATGAAATATTAAGAATGCCGCGATCAATAGAACTTGAGAAATGGACTGATTTGTGATTTAATCTTTCTGATCCCATATTGTGATCCGCATGGTTTTACTCTAGGTATTAATGAAAGGGGATAATAGTATGTTTTTCTCCCTGCCCTTAATATAAAATATGCCAGTCCTGTAATACATTCTTTTCCTTTTTTTTTTTTTTTAAGTTTATTTTGAGAGAGAATGAGCAGGGGAAGGGCAGAGAGAGATGGGGAGAGAATCCCAAGCATGCTCTGCACCGTCAGCTTGAAGCTCGGTGCAGGGCTCAAACTCACGAACCATGAGATGATGACCTGAGCCAAAATCGAGAGTTGGATGCTCAATTGAGCCACCCAGGCAACTGCAATAAATTGTGTATCAGAAAAACAGCACATCCGTTGGACTATTTACTGTTTCACCCCTGTGCTTTGCCTCAGACTTCTTCAGCACTATTTTAGGCTATATGGCTCAATAGATTTCATTTTCCCATATGGGCTATGTTTAATCTATTTTGAAGTTTCATAGTTTTGAAACTGGGTTTTTAAAAACCATAGCGGTTATTTTAAGAGCTGAGAAGGACCTAAATTCACAGCTTAACCATTTATATTTTCCTAAGAACTTAAAATAGTTTAATATTGGACTTTAGTTTTAAGGTAATCTCATTTCAAAATCGTCTTGCTAGCATCTTGCTTTACCTGACTTTTCAGAGACCCTTTCAGCTAAGAATGTTTCCATCCGATATCATGCAGAAGATTCCGAACTGAAGAGGTTTAAAATGAAGTGTCTCACTCAATGTCTATGTCATTTTCCCCAAAGAAAAGATTTCTTCACTACTTCTGGTTGTGCTAATTTATTTTGAAAGTTACATCTGTTCAAGTCAACGCCTAGTGTTTGCTGTCGGGTACCTTCGTGATAGTCTGGTATTCTGTGCTTCCCACGTGTTTTGTGTGTCTGCCTCGTGCTACTAATTTTCCTGTGGCCTTCTTCGTCACATCCACGGAGGTAAATGCAAGGGTTTTTCCCTGCTTCAGGACATATGCTGTTATCACGATTTCTTCTCCTATTTTAGCAGGTGACATGTACCTTGAAGGGAAACATTTAAATATAGTTAACAGCAAATAATTTATTAAAATTCTCTATTTTTGAAAGAGAACAAACGCAGGCACTTGAGTGGGGGAGGGCAGAGAGGGGGACAGAGGATTCCAAGCGGGCTGTGCTCTGACAGCAGGACTCCCAAACCCACATCATGACCTGAGCCGAAGTTGGATGGGTGCTCAACCAACTGAGCCACTTGGGCGCACCTTAAAATTTTTTGAAACTACTTTTATTTTCCTTTAAAAATAGTTAAGAATAGTATCCATACGTTTTCTGTCCTATCAGAATTGAATGGCTGGTCTTGACCAAGTTCATCTTCCCATATCCATACAAGTTTCTTTTCCCATAAATATGAGAAGGGGGTCCTGCCCACCACCCTGCACACGCATGTACACATACACACACTGAAGTTTCCTCTATTTATTTGGGGCTGGCGAAAGATTTTTCTCCAGCTTTTATTCTGCTAAGTCCGGGGTGAAGTGTTACTGGTGTCTGTCTACACAGCAGGTTCCTCCTTACCTGCAGTTTGACTTCCCATAGCTTGAGTGACCTGTGGTCCAGAGAGAAGCAGATGGTCCTCCTGATACTGTCAGAAGGTCAACAGTGGCCTAACGCTGCACCCCTGCCTACCTCTTCCCTCCCGGCATCTCCTGCTGTAGGCAATTCCTCCTCTCCCAGCCTCACTAGGAGGGTGAGGACAGTACAAGGTAGTTTGAGAGACCACATTCACGTAACATTACTGTATATTACGCTCATTCTATATGATCATCATCCTTGTTAACCTTACTGTGCCTAGTATGTGTATATAGGGCTTGGTACCACCTGCGGATTCAGGCATCTACTGGGGGTCTCGGGACATATCCCGTGGGTAAGAGGGGGCTACTCATCTGTCAATATTTAGAATTCACTCAACTGCACTTGAGTAAATTCTGCAGTTTACTGCACTTAAAACGGCTTAAATGTGAGGACTATGAGGAATTAATGCTGGCTCCTTAGATTGCTGGTGATGAGCCGTGTGCATTTTTTAAGCGCAACACTTCCTATCTCATTCTTAAGTTGTCATTTCTTTTTGAAATATCGACACTAAACCTTTGAGACTGTGTTTGTGTTCAAGTGGGTCAGTTTTTGAAGCTCAGGCAGTTCTTGACGGAAGCGATGTCTGACTTACTAAAGACTCTAGGCTTACGACAGCAGCAGTGGGATCTCAGAAGATCCTGAAAGGCAGTGCCAGGTTTGAAGATCTCCGCTCTGGGTAGAGGCTCCCAAGGCCCCGTGGGATCATCAGCGGGTCCCATCCCTGCTCACGGAGTAAGGTAAGGGCTGCTGAGCGCGCTCAGCAGGACCACAAGTGGAAGCCGTTCTTTCTGTGGATCTTACTTTCAAGAGCGTTTGCCTCTTGTCCTGTGATCTGTGAATGGCTCCCTCCATTTATTTCCATCGTAAAGAAGGGCTGAATTTTCTTAAGTGAGCCTAACAAAAGCTTCAGATTGTTTACACGTTGGATAAGGTCACTTCCACTGCCCTCGTGTTGCGTACACTGGCTGTCCTGTGCCCCCGGTAAGAACCCCTCTTCTGCTGTGCAGACGGGAAAAGCAGCCGTCCTGAAACGAAACCGCAGCGCCCTGCATTCTAGCGGCCGGACTGGCACAAGTCCTAGTTAGTACTGGAGCCGGGTCTTTTACATCTGGAAACCCCTGACTTCGCAGGCATTATCAGCGCGAGCGACAGCCTGATGTCTGGGGTGCTGCTTCCTGGTCACACAGCTCATGCCTCTGAGCCTGTCGGCTGCTGCAGGGAGAGGTCAGGACTGCAAAACCGGACACTTGTGCTCCCCCCCTCCCCGACAAGGCAGTGCTGATGTATGCTCCAGGGAGGTGTAGCCCACTGTGAATTTGTCGTTCAGGCTTTTCTCGATATGCACTCAATAGAGCCCCCCTAAGGCCTCTGCACAGGTGGTGCTTTTCAGGACTGTGTGAAACCGTTACAAGTGGGAGTTTTTCCCCAACCGGTATCCATAATAGAAGCCAAAGGTCTGCTCTTTTGACAGACGTTTCCTCTGGATCCATACATACACACTGCATTTGGCAATCTGCTGCTCTAATTCTAGATTCTAAGGCTCTGGGATATTCTGGGCACACCTATAAGGATGTGAACATAAGGATGACCAGCTCCGGGCACTTTCAGTTTTACTTATATTATAAATGTATTAAGAATCATTGTTTGAAATGAGTTTTCACAGTAAAAAGTATTCGTAGTACAGTTTGGATACATACGTTATGTTCATGTCGACACTGACTCCCGGTGCTCCCCCTTCTACAGATAGGAGAGCCAGCGTGGATATGTTATCCACTAAGGTGGCCGTCATACCCCCGTGGAGAGTGCCATACTTATTGGCGTGGCCGTCTTCTACTTTCATTTCACAAACCAGTTTCCCAGGGGTAGCAGAGACCAGAGTCACCTAAGTGTAAAAGGAAAAAAAAAAGGATTTGGGACATTCTTTAGTATTAGGAAAGCCCAAACAGCCCATCAAGAATCGTCCGATTAAACTAAGTCACCCCAGGGGCTCCTGGCTGGCTCAGTCGGTGGAGCGTGCAACTCTTGGTCTTGGGGTTGTAAGTTTGGGCCCCATGTTGGGTGTAGATTTTTTAAATTTTTTAAAATTTTTTTAATGTTTATTTTTGAGAGAGAGACAGTGCAAGTAGGAGAGGGTCAGAGAGAGACAGTGCAAGTAGGAGAGGGTCAGAGAGAGGAAGACACAGAATCTGAAGCAGGCTCTAAAACAGCTGTCAGCACAGAGCCCGACGGGCTCAAACCCACAAACTGTGAGATCATGACCTGAGCTGAAGTCGGACACCCAACCAACTGAGCCACCCAGGCATTCCTTAAAAAATAAAATCTTAAGCTCAGTCACCCCAAAACAGTTGATTAGAAATTCAAATAAGTTGCCAATCTCTCTATGATAGAAATTAACCCATATATAAATTTTTTAAAAAATTTTTAATGTTTATTTTTGAGAGAGAGAGAGTGTGAGACAGACCTTGGGTGGGGGAGAGGCAGAGAGAGAGGGAGACACAGAATCTGAAGCAGGCTCCAGGCTCTGAGCTGTCAGCACAAAGCCCAACGTGGGGCTTGAATTCGACAAACTGTGAGATCATGATGTGAGCCGAAATCAGATGCTCAACTGACTGAGCCACCCAGGTGCCTCCTCATATATAAATTGTTCTTAAAGAAGAAGGAACATTTAGAGAAAAGACAGTAGTTTTTGTTAATCTCAACTGCAGAAATAAAATAATCTGGGGTGCCTGGGTGGCTTAGTTGGTTGAGCATCCGACTTTCGCTTAGGTCATGATCTCGCCGTTCGTGGGTTCGAGCCCCGTGTCGGCCTCTGTGCTGACTGCCAGCTCAGAGCCTGGAGCCTATTTCAGAGTCTGTGTCTCCCTCTCTCTGACCCTCCCCTGCTCACGCTCTCTCTCTCTCTCCTAGAAATAAAAATATTTTTTAAAAATTAAAAAAAAAGAAATAAAATAATCTAAGCTTTCTGGTCTTACGTATAACAACCTAACATCTCTTAAAGTCTCCACAGAAATTCTGGACCAACACAGCTAGCTGGTCCCCATCACCTGTTAACCCATGATAGGTTTCATTTCGATGTTCCCTAGTTTTTGTAGAGAGTAATTTTTATAATGATTTTGTAATGAATAATTTAAAACAATTTGGACTGAAAGAAATTCAATAATTCAATGAGTTACTAGAATTAACAAACTTATACCATAAATCTATTTTAATATACAAAGTTTAACAACAGAATCCAGCAATTAAACAGCTGCTTCTAAGGTCCCGACCCATTTACGGTATTATAATGAAAAATAAGTACGTGAAAGATAAATGTGGAACAATAAATTAAATTTTTGTATAAAAAGTCTTCAAAAAGGAAGCTTTTGGAGGCCCCTGGGGTGGCTCAGTTGGTCGAGCATCTGGCTTCAGCTCAGGTCACGATCTCGTGGTTTGCGAGTTCGAGCCCCGCATGTCAGTACAGAGCCGGCTTCGGATCCTGTCCAAACCACCCCCTCCCCGCTCTCGCCCCTCCCCCATTCGTGTGTACGCTCCCAAAAAATTTATTTAAAAAGGAAGCTTTTGGAAAAATAATAAATATATTTTTTATATCTTAATTAAATTACTAGGAAAAATATCATAGTTTAAGACTGAGAAATCGGAACTGAGCTGTGAATGGGATGTGCTCCATTCGCTAGAGGTGTTCAGGCAGAATATGGATGAGTACGTGGCGTGTCTGTCGCATTTGGGGGTGGGGGTGTCTCGAGCACTAAACGCTTAGATTTTCTAGATAACTGCTCTCCAGCTGGGCATTTTCCCATGCTGGGCGCTGTGCCAAACACATTGACTGTAGAGGAAGGAAGGCATAGTTGCCGCCGCCCCTCTAAGTAGGTAACTTGAGCTCACGGGGGTTTGTCGTTGGGACAGAGCTGGTTGAGATCTGGGTCTAACTCAAGTCTCTGGACAGGGGACGGTCTGGGCTCGGGGCACGCAGCGACGCTCCCCCCAGGGGGGCAGCCTGCAGTTTCGCAGCCACAGCGGTAGCGGCTCTGCCGTGCCCCCCACCCCACCCCCCACCCCGAGAACTGGGCCCTGAGGTCAAACAAGCACAGGCGCACCACACGAACCGTCCTGGACAGCATCATGTCACGTTTTGCCCGACAGGGAGTCAGCGGGAAACGCGTTACCGCACGGGGCGGGGGGGGCATCCAAACAGTACGCCCTCAGGCTGCACCACGCAGGACCCGGTGTGGACTGCCCTCGTTCGGGCATTTACACGAGCGTATAAGCACCGGCAACGTAGAGACGAGGGGCAAATCCCGGCCGTGAGGGCTTCCCAGCCTCCGGCAGACACGCGTGCGCAGACCTCCGCCCGGGGGGCGCGGCCACAGGCTGCCTGAAGGGCACCAGACGTTTACTAAGTGTGTGTGTGCCCCCCGGGGAGTGACATTCGGGTCCTAAGGGACAGGAGTCGCCAGCCCGGGGAAAATGGGGAGCAAGCCAGGCAGTGCGGGGGCGGGAACTCAAGGCAGTTTGCTTTGGGGCAACGTTCCGGCGCCGAGTGTTTAGCCGAGGTCAGTGACCACGTGACCCCGGCCGGGCCGACGGGAGACGACACAGGTGTCCGCTTGACTTTCTCCTGCACAATACAGCGTGAAAGGCCAAGGACACGCGGGATGCACGAGTGCTTCACGGCGCACGCTCGGGAAGAGGAAGTCCGCGCGGCGAGCCGGGCCCGCAAGAGAAGTGCGCGTGCGCGTCGCCCTCCCCCCGCGCCTCCGGCTCCTGAGGTAAAACGGCGGACGGCGGCCCGCGGGGGACTCACCGCCTCCCAAAGCCAGTAAACAGTCCTGCTGGGGACGAGGCCAACGGAGAGCCAACCCGTCTCCCATGAAGGAAGGGGGTATGAGGCGACTACTGTTAGAAAAAAGAAAAAGAATAAATGATCTGTCCCAGCCAAGGCCCGGGTTCCAGGGGACACACCTGTTTATTCGGTTATTAGCTACGGCGGCGAACTGGGTTCGAGACCACGCTCGGCAACTGCAGGCCTGCTTCCCCTCCCAGGTCTCGGGCGGGTCCTGTCCCCGCCACCTGACTCCCGCGGCCCGGGTCTAACCACCGGCGGACCCCTCCCTGGCGTCCCGCCTGGACCGCTGCGCGCAGCCGGGTCCGGACTCCCCGGGGCTCTTCCGCCTTTTCCAGAAAGCGGGAAGCCATGGAGCTGCTGTGGCCCCAGCGGTGTCGCTATCGCCCAGATGCGTTCCGGCGCCAGGACCCCCCCGCGCACGTTGGCGACAACCTTCACGGCTCAGCGCAGCCGGACGCGCGGGCGCCTCGGCTCACGACGCAGACGACGGCCGTGCGCACGCGCACGACGGCCCGTCCGTCTCCTGCGCGGCCTGCGGTGCCCTGTCCCCCTCGGCCCCTCACGCTCACGGGGCTCCTGCCGCCGCGGCACCCTCCTCCCGCACCCCCAACACCCACGTTCCCGTCCGTCGCCGAGAACAGCCTCTCCTCTCCTTCCCCACCTTTGCGGGGAAGACAGCGGAAGGAATGCCCGCTAATCAGCCGAGGTGACGGAGCCTGCCCCCAGCAGGGAGCCCCCCGAATTCTCCTCGGGCCGTGATGTGTGCGTTCATGCTGGGCCTTAGGAGGCCACGGCACTGGGCCCGCTGCCGGACGCAGGCGTGTGTCTCAGGCTCCGTGACGGTGTCCGCCGTGGGCCCAAGGAGCGTGGCGCGTGGCACGGGAACGTGTGTGTGTGTGTGTGTGTGTGTGACAACACGAGTCCGCCTCGAAAGGAGGCCGAACACGAAAGGCCTTACTTACCGCACAAAAGCACAGGGAACAGCTGATGTCGGCGAACGAGACTTTTACGTATTTGTGAGAGATGCTGTTGGGAAGCGTTGCTGGTTTCCTATGTGACACAGCGCAGACACCGGAAGGAAGTGTCTGGAGACCCTGTTGAAGGACCTTCACAAACGCAGGAAGGGAGGGAAAGCGTAAGAGGGAGGTGAGCGGCGACAGCACCGGTGCGGTGAGGGCCCCGGCAGGTGGCTCCGGCTGTGCTGGCCCGGGCGGCGCTCGGGTCTTACAGTGTGTGCTGTAGCAGTGTCGTCGCACAGGTGGCTTTGGAGCCGGAGGTAAGAGCATCAGCTCTGGAGCCAGACCGAGGCCGGGTCCTTACCCGCGGTGGGATTAGGGTGACTTTCAAATGAAGCAGCTGGAATAAGGCCACCAGAGCACAGGTGACCGAGACATTCTAGTTCTCGTCCGAGGTAAAGTTGGGGCCCGAACACAACCACGAGACCCCAAGCTGGTTTGTATAGTTTTCACGTGGATCTTTCTTGAAATCGCCCGATTGGAACTTAAAATTTTCCAATTACTAAGCTCATTCACTAAATGACCTAATGGCTAAATTCGGCGGATATTTTTCAGCCCGTTCTTTACCTGACCTCTCAGCAATTTGAGACATCCAGACATTTCTCTGGCCTTTTCTTAACTCCCAGGCACCTTCTCCTGCGTCTCCTTCTCTCCTCTGCAGCGTGCCACAGTCCCTTTTCTGGCTTTTATTCTGCAACCCCCCCCCAACTCCAAGTCTTAGGGTCGTCTAATTGTCCGGCCTCAGGAAACTACCAAAGGCCACACTGGGTTTCAGGATGACTCAGAAGGTTACAGGACCCTCTAAAGTTAGGCACTATAAGAGAGTTAACGGCAGGGCCTTGGGGTTTGGATCCCCATCACCAGCTGTGAGGGCTTAGAAAAGTCAAGCTTCGGCTTTCTCACATATAAAATGGGGATGGTGGCCACGGCATTGGCCAGAGGATGAAATGGAAGTTGTAGGCAGACTAATCAGGCTCAAAGTAACTGTTACTACGGAAAGGGACTCCAGCCTGCTTACTTTTC